TTTGGAATAATCCACCAATTTTTTAAAATTAAACACTATCTAAAGATTTGCATCGAAGCGTTTTTTTTTGATAGTGATTTTAATCACTGTCAGATATCATTATACTTGATCCAACTATGCCACGTCACCACTGTGCCGCGACCCCCCTGTGCTGGGTTTTTTTTAGTGTGGATGTAAAATTAACAACTTATTTTATTCTTAAATTTTAATACCTTTAACGATATCAAATCTACTAGTTTAAATTTAAAGTTCAAAAACTGAGAAGGCCTGACACGGTATTCTATATTTTGTGATATGCTTAACACACGGACACCTCTCATCAGCCGTTTTGCTACATCGCGAGTCCAGTTTGATTAGAGTACCTCCGCTTTCTAAAAAGGGTGCAAAGTAAATCAACTTGACTATTTGCTTTTGACATTCTACGTGAAAATTTCCGTTTCATTGTCATTTTTATTTTCGTTTTGTTTTGTTGTAGATCTACTAATTTAAATATCGTTTATAGTAAACTTTGAATTTCGACTGACATTATTTTTATTTGAAATAACTGTGCATAGTTATAAGTTAAACATAATGTCAGTTATTAACCATAGTTAATAACTTTAAATTACAAGTTACCAAGCTAGTTACAGCCTATTATCGGATAAATTATAAGATGAATAGCTAATTCATGTTATATTTGCTTTTAGCTAAACAGCACAACTAAAAAATGTCAATTTGGATGAAAAAATTGCATTCATATAGTATAATTAATACTTTCTGGTATCTAGTGGATATTAGCAAAAATAATCAACGCCATAACAATGGTAAAATCTTTATTATTATTAGTTACTCTAAACAATAATATAAATTAAACACTAGATTTAGTGTTTCATTTATATTGAGTTAATTAGAATTTATGTTCTTACATTTACTATCCGTCTAAATAACCATTAAGATATTAGTCTCCTGTTGTGCGTCAAACATCAAACATTTATTTTTTTAATATATTTATAGAAACTTAAGTTTTTGAATTTATTTTTTAATTATAAATATCATAAAACTCACTTTGTTGGGAAATTTAAATAAATTATTATGCATTTGGTCCAAGCATGTAATTTTTTTATAAATATTAAAAATAAAATCAAAATACAGCCACGGCTTAAAAGTTCTTGCATAAATGTGCTCTGAAAATCTTAAACATTTTTTTATTAATAATTGAATAAATAATTTTCTTTTTCAACATAATTAAAATTATACGAGACAAATTTTGACTTTCTGGAGCAATTATTTAAAATAATAAACTATGACTGGATTTAGACATCTTTAGATCCAGTAACGAACATTTCTAATTTTGATTGTTGTTATTAATTATAGTATTTTCTAAATTAGAATACTAAAAATAATAATATTGTTTAAAGTAATAGAGGATAAGCGAAATGCTATATACTATGGGAAAACCGACAAGTTCCAATTACATCAGTGCTAGTGTTTCTTCGTTGACCATTAAGTGGTCCAAAAACTGTATGATGAAATGTTCAACTTAAAAAGTATTTTTGGTTCTTAGTCAAATGATGAAACTAGTGATCGAAATATCGTTATACTAGAGTCACTAATTTTTTTTTGATTCAGATGAATTAATTGATTTTTATACGTCATCAGATACAACATTTTTATTAGAAAAATAGACATCTTGAAAATTATTATAACTTCATTTATATTTCTTAAAATGTTCAGTTATACCTCTTTCAAAATATTTAAATCTAAAATGTTAGATTTTATCACAGTTATCTGTTTAATTAAGTATTTATTGAGTGATCTTATAAAAAGCGTTTTCAAATTATGATAAAATTAAGGGATAAGTTATAAATTTTAAATTAAGAAAAAATAATTCTGATCACATTAAAAATCTTGAAACTTTGTTTATATAACAATCATTTCCAATGAACGAAGGGCAAAAATTTTAAAAACGCCAGGTGAGTTATCATCGGATGATATAAGAAACTTTTCTAAAATATAATATTTTAAATTAAAAACTCACCATAGTATTTATGATATCCCATTGAATGTAATTGAAAAAACGGTAGCACAGTGGGGTTGCGACATAGCATAGACGTAGAATAATTGGGATAAGTATAGATGATATTTGACAGTAATTTTAATCAATGTGATAAGAAACACTTCGATGCAAATCTGTAAATAGTGTTTAATTCTAAGAAATTGGTAAATAATTACAAAAGCAATATCAACTGTTATTTCCATAATTATATCCTGATTAGTAGTTCTTAGATTTAAAAGTATAATTTATGAAAAAATATTTATTATAGCTATTAAACAGAGTATGAAACTAATATTTTAATTTTTACTGCGAAATAATAAAAAATTATAAAGTAGTATATTTTGTTACCTCTATGACAAACATGCATAAAAATTAAAGGGCTTGTTGCAATATGTTATAAACAAATTTTTTTTCTCTAATGAATAAATGCTAAGAATTAAAAAAATGGTATTGTTAATATTAATATGCAGTCAGCAAATTTTATAGTTACTATTTATAGTAAATGTATCACAAAAGCTTAATATTTTTTTGCATTTTTATCGTAATAGATAACTTAAATAGAAATAACAGTAATCATTTCTTAGTAACTTTTAGTGTTTAAAAATACTCTACAATTGAAATATTCAGAACTAAATTAATTTTTAAGATTTATTTTAACTAAAAAAACCAATCAAGTAGTTCAAAAAAAATCTACTCAATTGAGCGTATTATAAAATTAGATTATAGTTGTAAAAATCCATTGTTAAATTCAATTGAAATTAAAAATCATTTTTTTAAAAATGCAAAATGTTACCAAAAAATTTGGAATATTATTGATTCATAGTAGCACACAAATAGACCTTAAAATTAATAAATTACAAAGTAAAATTATTTAATTTTGTAATTGAAATGTATTATCATATCAAGCCTAATTTTACAATAAATACTTTTAAAATGTTAGAATTAAATTATTCTAATTTTCAAATGGAGAAATCTGGTTAAGCAATTTTTTATTTGATAAAGGAGATTTTTTTTTCAGTTTTTAGATTAATATCTTAAACTAAATATTAAATGTATTTTTCATCAAAATCGGTCCAGTGAGAGCTGTGAAAAAGTGGTAACAGACACCAAAAAAAAAAAAACACATAGTAGTAAAATTAATTTTAATTATTTTTAATAAAAAAAAAAATTGTATTTTTATTAAATTTCAAAATAGTCAAAATACTCCACTGACTATACATACCAATTCTATGACTTAAAATAACTTTTAGTTAAATGATTACTAAATAATGAATTATTACTCATACATACATTTTTATAGACCATAATTGAAAAAAACGAAAATTTTAAATCAAAACTTTTTTTTTAAACTCAATTAAACTTTGTATGTCGGTTTCGTGTTTCTAGGACGTATTGTTACTTGATATCCGTCAGCGTTTTTTAACGATAATTCGAATTTTAACTTTATATCAGACATTTTGCATTTAGTATGAACACTATAGTTACGTAAAAATGTAGATAGCAAAACTTTCATTAATAGCATTGCATACTTTTCCCCTAAATTATTAAAAATTATTAATTATATTTATTCTATGATTATACTAATTTTTTACATGTTACCTATACAATTCCTAGGTCCACCACTAAACGCAATAAAACTATACTTGTGTCGTTTTGCAACCTTCTCTGGATCAAAATTATGTGGGTTGTACTCCCAGGGATTTGGGTACAACTCTGGTAGATGATGAGTGACTATTATTGGTATAAAAATAGTAGTATCTTTTGGAATTGTGTAATTACCTTAAAAATCAAAAACACCAGTTTAAGCATGTTTTATTCATGATAAACTCGGAAAAATTACTCATTTTGACATCATCTTGAAGATATCTCATTATCACTGGTGCTGCGGGATACATTCGAAGAGTTTCCTTGATACATTGTTCCAGATATACAAACTTAACCGTATCTTCAATTGTTACTTTTCGATCACCTTCTCCCATTATTTGGTAAATTTCATCATAAACTTTGTCCTGAAAATATGAAATTACATTTTAAATATAATAAATATTGAAGATCATTTATAAAACTGTATATTACCTGTATGTCTTGATGGATAGCTAACATTAAAATACAGAAACAAGTGGTTATAGAAATAGTCTCACTGCCCTATTGAAAAAATAGTGTTATTACATTAATTGGGTTTTTAAACAATATATAAAGATATTAATAATATTATTTTACTGCAATTATCATAGTTAAAACTTCATCTCTTAAATCATTGTTTAAAAAATAGGCTCCTTCATCATTTAACTCCAACAATAATTCCAAAAATATTGGTCTTTGTTTATCTACAATGTTTATCAACATTTATTTCATAAATAAATTAAATATAAATTAACTAGAACATTACCTTCATTGTTGGTTAAGTTTAAAGAACTGTGGTTGGTTTTCTTTCTTTGAACATACAGGCTTTTTTTTTCTTTAATTATCTAATAAGTATATCGTTATTAGTAAAGTATGTAACAATTTTTATGTGAATTGTATACACGATATATTATCAGGATTTGAATTAAAATTATATATTTTATTTTTATGTTATGACAGTTAAAACGTTAACAATATTATTGTGTTTACATTTTAAATAATTTAAATAAACGTTATGGAGTTTTGTTTTTCGTTTGCGATACTTAAACAACATCAATTTTTTATGTTTTACAATTTGCGATAAATGTTATTGATAATTTTTTTACCTTATTAGTAATTAACCTGTAATTTTTCGGCTATGAGAATTTCCCTTACATAGTTACTATTTTATAAATTTTATTTTTTAAATACTGATTTACACTGGCTTACTCGTATTCATACATATCAAAATATTAACGTATTTTATGAGTTATAATGAAGCAGCATTATATTTACCGTTTTCTGCTTATTTCTTGTTATTTTTTTTATTCCGTTTGTAAGTTATGTTTGATTTGTTAATTTTTGTTTTATTTCGTTTGAAATTATGTAATGTTTGACGGTAGTATATATTTTTATTGTTCAGTAAATAAGGAAACATGTTTCTATTGTTCTCATTGTTTGTAACAATTGACATTTTATTCAGTTATTAATTGATACACGTTTGCCATAGAGGTAACAAAATATAAAATATTTTAAAATTTGTATCATTTTTCTGTATAAATTTCTAAATGAATGAATATCAATTTAAAATTATTCTGGGTTTTTTATTATTAAAAATATATATTAAAAAACAGTAGCACAGTGGGGTCGAGGCACAGTGTGGACGAGGCATAGATGGGACAAGTNATCAATTTAAAATTATGCTGGGTTTTTTATTATTAAAAAAATATATTTAAAAAAATGTTATATGAACGTGGTACAGTCGTGCCAACGTTCCCCAATGCGGTGTTTATTTTTTTTAATCAAAAGTTATAAAACTCACTTTGTTTGGAAATTTATATAAATTTTCATACATTTGATTCAAGCCTGTAATTTTTCCATAAATACTAAAAATAAAATCAGGATACAACCATGGCTTCTTTAGTCTGGCATTAACTCGCTCTGTAATTCTAAAAAAATGTTCATTAATTAAAAGTTGAATATAAAATTTATTTTATCAATTCAATTAAAATTATACGGGTTAAGTTTTAACTCTCTGATGCGATTATTTTAAACCCTAGATAAAAAAAATCTTTTGACTTCTCTAAATTAAAAATGAACAGTGAAATTATTCGGATTATTTTGAGATTATTAAAAAGTTGCTATATTGTTTTAAAAGTCAAAATTTTAGATTTCCCTAAAATTCTGTTTACAATTTCGTCATCATTCAAATTACTGTAAGTATAATAATAATATATTGTATAGAAGTAAATTAATATTTTACTTTCTCACTAAATAAAAAAATTCAGATTTGTCGTCATCTTCCTCATCACGATGATGTCCCAGTGCTGCTTCTGTAAATAACATGTGTATAAATCCACTTTTTTTGGAAGTATTTAAAATACTACTTAAATACTTTTATTTAAATATAAAGAGTTACATAAAAATGATTATTATAGTTTCTTTAGAAATTATTTATTTGGATAATCTTACAAAAAAATAGTGATTTTAACGAAATTTTGAACTTTTCTCATAACTTTACTGTAAATAGTAATTATATAAGTTTCTGAACACATATCAGGCTAAACAATACAACTTTTTAAATCCATATAAAATTTTTAATTTAACGATATAAATTTCAAACTTGTATGTCGAACTAAAACGAGTTATAAAATGAAATAAAATTTTATTACTAGGCTCCGTCTAGCTGGGGCTCCGCCCCAGACACGGAGCCCTACGAGGCTTACGTGCCTTCTGCGCGTAAGCCTCTTCGGGCCGTCATCATAAGTAGGCCACTTATTCCGGTAGGGGTACCCGCCTACGCCGAGCACGATAAGTGTTTTTCAGAAAAAATATTACATCAGAATCATTGTAACAAAAATATATTAAAAATGTTATTATTTAAATCAGCAAAATTCAAAAAGAGAATGTATTGGGTATAAGGTTGACGTTTTTTAATGAGGTATTCTCTTTAGGCCTATTTAAAAATTATTTTAGGAGGGTTTTTAATATTTTTTACTTTGTTAAGAATGTTATAGAATTTTTTTTGCTAAAAATTAAAGTAATGATGAAAAAAAAGGACATTAGGTCCTTATTTATTAGAAGTTGATTAAAAAAATATTGATAGCGCTGGTTCAAGGGGGTTCCCTTAAATACTTCTCCCTTAAATACACCCCTGGTATACACAAAAATATTAATATTCTAATTATAATAATTGTGTTTATATTATAGAATAATTAAAAAAAAATTCTGCAGGTTATTATACGTGGAACTATGTTAAAAATTTAATTTTGATAAAAATATTGGTAACTGCGATTTAACGTTGGACAGCATAGTATTCATAGATGAATCCCAATTTAAACGATAAACTCATAAATTCATAGATCATATATGAGAAAAAAAAATTATTAATAATGTACTGTTCTGATAATGAAAGTACAAACTTATATAATTATAACTGTCTTAAAATTTATATATAACATATAATATTCCTCGATAAAATATAGTGCTATGTGCAAATGCAAAATAGTGTCCTAATAAAAATACATATTAAACAATATAATTAAGAATCAGAATAAACGTATGAGCAGAAATGAATCAATGCACATATTAAAACCATGCACGTGGACTTCAAAAAAAAAAAAAAGCTCGTAAAAGGTAAAAAATGAACGGATTGAATTGATTTCTTTATTATATCTCTGGAATGACATTGGGCGGGTCTGATGAAACTTTTTCCAATAATTTTCCTGGATTCTGGTGACCGAGTACTTTCGTTGAAAAAAAAATTTTGAAAATCTGAGCACGCTAAGTAATTTTCCCAGTAAAGTGTTTTTTTCCTTATTCTATTATATAATAAGATAAATTTTTGTGAAAAACAACTTTAAAAGACCAAAAAGTTAGGTTAAAAAATACATTTTGAATCGAAATTTTGCACATACTATTATTATATTTATCATATTAAAAATCAAAATTACTAATAATTTAATACTGTAATTTTTACAGAGAAATTATAAAAAATTATAAAGTAGTCGTTAATTTTATGGCAATCGACTATAAAAATTAAAAATATAATATTAAATAAAAAATTAAAAACAAAAAAAATTTATTTTTCAAATTATTATTGACTTTAATTTTTAGTATATTTTAAAAAATCAGTAAACATTTCATTTTTATCCTATTTTTTTGGTCTTTTAAAGTTTATTTTTATTAAATTTTATAATCATAAAAAGGTTCAACATTTCATCATAATTTTTTTTTAGCATAATATGCAACTTTAAAATTAACATTACTAAATAGACAATTGAAAATATGGTATTGTTAAAATTTATGTGGTCAGAAAATGTTATAATTATTATTTACAGTAAATTTGTGAAAATAGCTCAAAATTTTATTGAAATCACTATTATTTTTTGTATATTATTATCGAATAAAGTATGACGGGCGAAAGGGACCTGTATAAAGTCTTTATAGAAAAATATTATTGATCCAAATTTTGTTCAAAAAGTTATAACATGTTCGCCACCGGACTCCTAATAGACGGTTGGTCCGTATGACTGGTAATGACACACCAAATCACAATAATTGTTTGTAATCATTGAAAGGGGAAAATAAAAAGAAAAAAAGGTTACCATTCAAACAATTACAATGGTTTTAATACTACATTTTTATTACAATAACTAAATCTGGACGTCCGCAAAAGAATACAAATATTTTAACAAAAAAAAAAAATTAAATATAAATTTACATACAATTACGAAGACAACATCCAAGCCGAGTCCATCCACAGACTCTCCGACCAAGCCACGTGGTCCAGGCAATGGACGACCAAAGATCTTCAACAATAAAAATAGGACGATGGCCCGAGTACAGCACAAACAAGGAAACTAATGTTGTATATTTGGCAACAACTCAACGAAATCCCACTGGACAATTGTCACCGTACGCAAACGAAAACAAAGGTTGTGCGTATCACACCAACAGCGTATCCAATACAATTCTATCAAGCATTAGGAAAAAAAACATGCACGGCACGTCCAATGCGTTGGGCAGCTATACACACGGACCGGTTTACCCCCGCCGTAAGCCTTTAAAGTATTATATATAATACCCGTCTCAGACGAGGAGATATGCCGGCCATCAGCTGACTGCGTCATGTTGCGCAACTTGTTCAAACATAACAATATAAAACTGAACATATAAAATTAAGAATTAAAAAAAAAAAATTCGATAGTCGTTTTCACCATGAAGGTAATTCCCCAGGACAATTTTTATTTTTCAAATTAAAGTATATTACATAAGTATTAAATTAGATATCTATAAAAGTTGTCCCCTGTGGGTGGAGGGCAGAGCATGGTTTCCCAGGTCGTTAGCCAGCAAAATACATGCCAAAGCAAAAAACAAAATATTGAAAATAAAATAAAAAACAAAACTATTGCAACTAAAATAGGAACCTGGAACGTGAGAACGTTGTTAAGACCAGGAATATTTGAAGAACTTAAACAACAATTGACACTTAATAGCTTGATATTTTAGGAGTGTGTGAAACTAGATGGGGTGACAACGGAGATTTCTGGAGTGACAATTTTCGAATGATACATAGTGGAGATAAACAAGGGAAAAACGGTGTTGGAATACTATTAAACAAAGAATGGGGACTGCAAGTAGAAAATACCTATCATGTGAATGATGGAATATTACTAATAAAATTGAAGACATCCACAGTAAACATGATAGTCATCCAGGTATACTTTCCAACCTCGAATAGTGAAGACGACGAAATCGAACAAGTGTATGATTCTCTAGATGAACTGCTAGGAATAACTCGAGATAGCGATAACGTAATTATTATATGCGGTAGTAGGAGAAGGACATGAAAATCAAATAGTAGGCAAACATGGATTAAGAACAAGAAACATCCGAGATGAAAGATTAGTAAATTTTTGTAAGCAGAACAATTTTTTAGTTACCAACACAATGTTTGAAGTACCAAAAAGAAGATGCTATACATGTGTAGCACCAGGGGATACTAATTGTTACCAAATTGACTTTGTGTTAGCAAAAAGCCGTTTCAAGAACCGAATAATGACAAGTCACAGTTTTCCAAATGAAAATAAATGCAAATAAAACAAAAACAATGGTGGTGACTAAAGCAAAAGAAATTCCTTTAGTGAGGTTGGAAATAGATAATAACTTAATTGAGCAGATTCAACAATTTAAGTATCTAGGAAGTACGATTACTAGCGATGGTAGATGCTCAATAGAAATTAGACAAAGAATGGTCTAAATCCCAATTGATAAAAATTATATTACATTTCTTTTTAAGAGAAAAAATTATATTTGGTTTTATTTGCGCATGCAAAATACGATATAGATCAATATATCTTTTGAAATAAATCTTTATTTTTAAAGGTTCTGGTTTGGTTTTTGAATAATAAAAATATTTTGGTTCGGAAATCGTTTTTTTATGTTTTGTTACAATCCCCGCTCTAAACTCTTAGTTCAAACAAATAGCATTTATTTGTTTCCTCTTGAAAGTAACAATAATGCACTTCATCGCATCTGCCACTTAATTTTAAAAATATTCTTTAACACAATATATTTCAATAATAAAATATGTAATTCGATTAAATATTATTTTTACCATTATCACTTACCACATATTGAATTAACAGAAACAGAATTAACATAATCCCAAATATTAAATGACTCGGAATTTCGCAGTTCTTTTTGAAGATTTAATATGAAACCTGCACTATTTTCATTGAAAATTGGTAAAAATTTATTTATGGAAGAAGTGTTAAAAAAAGGAGAGATAATTCGTCGATGTATTTTCCATTTAGGAACTGAAAGCAACGATAAAAATTCATAGATTATATAAAAACAGTAACAATATTTAAATTAACTATTTCATTTCTTTATTAAAATATTTCACTATACAATTTATCCTTTGATGATTGAATAAAAAAAAAATTCTGAATAAACTGTTAAATTATATTTATGTGCACTGTCTACATTGTATTAAAAAAATAAAATAAAAATTTGTACCTTTTTATAATAGAGATGCAAATAATTTACTTTTATAAAATTAATATTTTCTATAAAATAATCAAGTAAATATTAAATTTTATTTTATTTTTATTGATATTTAAGTATAATATAAATAATTATTATTTTTTCTCACCAGAAGTAGTAATTAATCCTTCTCCAAAAGCACCACTCAACATTTTGGCTAATTTACCTCTGTCAAAAGCATTAGAATTATTTAATATAATCTGAAAAAAAAAATTAATACCATTTTCTGTTTAAAAAAAAATTAATTTTTTTAATTAAATAAAATGACAACTAAAAAATCTACAAAAAAATATAATATTTTAATTTTGAAAATTTTTCTTTAGTATACTTCTCACCATTTAATGTAACTAAATAAACCCTCAAATACTCTGGTAATTATTTTTATTTTGTGAGTAATTGTCCGACCTGTGTAACAGGTCGGTCTATAAAATATACTAGTAATTAAGAATAGTTATGAAAAGTGTCAGTAATCCTAATGTAAAAAGTTCACAAGTAAAATTTTTTTCTCTAAATATTGAGCTAATATTTAAATATTTATAAATAATCCACATATTAATTTTTAAATAATAAATTATTTCTTTAAAAAATAATTTAATACATTGAGTTTAATTGATAAATATATTACATAATGTTAAAAACATCTAAACGTACTTGTAAATCTTCTGGCTTTGTTACATTTAAAGCTAGTGAAGAACCCAACCAGATTTTATATGGTTCCGGACCGTACAGATTATTTAACTTAAAAAAATTTTCCATAACATCTAAAAATCAATTTATATGTATTTACATTATATATATGTTCATGTGTATTTTAAACAATAATTATAAACAACTACATTATTTCACACATATACATAAATTGCATTTTAGTGATATCAATTTATTATTTAATTTATTATTATTGATTGTGGGAACAGTTCGCATGGTGTATTTTTATAATGCTTGTGCTACATACTCACGAAATATATTCAAATTATTTTAACTCATAACGTCACATTGATATGGCGTTATGTTCCATATCACTCCCTTTCTTGCTTTCATTTGTTCCCCTCTTTCTTCTATCTCTCGATATATTTTTAAATCCCATACAAGAAATACTGTATGTTTTTACACTTATTATTCAATAATATTAAATCTGTCTATCTCTATTTCATCTAATTTTTTGAGCTTTTCACTTGATAATATTAAATCTTTACCAAAAATATCGATTTATAAAATTTCTGCTATAATTTTATCTACTAAAAATATTGGTTTTCATATAAGAAATTAATGTTAAAGACTTGAAGATCCCTGAAGGTCTGAAAAAAAAGTTTTAGTTTTATAATACTGTAGAATNGCCATTGTTGTTCTCGCCAGTACATTTTGCCTGGTTCAATTCTGAAGCCAACGACTTCACTCGCCTTCAATTCATATCAACCAGTCATCATCATTAATATTGGATAAAGAGTTATTAATCAAATTTGATTGTTGTATTAGCATTAAGAGGGGACCACATTGATGTATACAGGGTGTAAATCTTTCGAACCATAGTAATATATGAGCGAGTATCCTGGTGAAGTGTAAAATAGGACCTCGTTTTTTTTTCTCCAAAATTGAAGGAATTTTGGTACCATTGTACCATATTATAAGTTTTATTATTATAAGTAATCTAATATTATTTGTAACTTAATTAGTGACTATTCAATAGTGAACAAAATTTTTCGAATATTTAAATAAATATTAACGAGCTCAGTGATGTACCATATTCTCATTATTCATTAATTTCGGGAAAGAGTAATGTGCCGATTACATCAAAATAATTATTTCTAATTATCCTATTGTAATAAAGTTTAAAATATTCATTTCAATATTGTGATTGTTTTATTTTCCCGACCTAAAAAGAAAAAAAATTTATAATTTTATAACAGTTTTAATGATAAAAATTATAATCGGTTTGAATAAATAATTAAAGACGAAATAAACTCGTGAAATTAAAATAATATCACATTATTTGTGGGTTTTTTTTCGGTTTTTCTTATTATTTAATCGTTTAAACTAAAAATAAACTACATCACATGACTCCCAGTAAAATTTCAATACAAATTGATGGGTCACACTGAGGTGAAATTTTTTTCCAACTTTGAACCCAAAGTTCAGGGGAGGGCGCAAAAGTTACAAAAAATCGAGTGACCACTCAATTTGTATGATAATTTTTAGTAAAATATCATGGTAGGATTTATTTTTAATTTTAGAGAAATTCGGGGGAATTATACCAAAATTCCTTCAATTTTGAAGAAAAAAAAACGAGGTCCTATTTTACACTTCACCAGGATATTCGCTCAAATATTACTATGGTTCGAAAGATTTAAACCCTGTTAATATTTTGGTTTATATTTTTAATACAGGTAATTATATATTCTACAAATACATTTTATTCATTTTATACAGACTACTCCCTACTTCTTTCTTTTACATGATCAGAGACTACAGAAACTAACGTTAACTATCCTGCACGAGTTTTACCGGGCGTTCCGTTCAAACAGTGTCTGTCACTAAAAGTAGCGACTGACACAAAAAAAGTTTTTATCATCTCTATATACTCAACGATAAGTCAAAAGATCCCAAATCGTAAATAGTTGAAGACATTATTATCAAAAATTGAAAAATTTTCACACATTTCCCGTAAGTGGTAGAAATCCTCCAAAAAATACGATTTTTAAATTCGGTAAATTTCGATATTTTTAAACCTTTTTTTTTTCTTATAACAGTCATAATTTTTACACAATGAACAAATTAAAATTATTATTTTTTTTTCAATAAACACCTTTTATATTCCCCTTTCATTTGACATAATTTTTTTGGTAATATGCCTCTTGATTTACTCACTGGAGGGATTCAAAACAGAAACTTTTGCATGAAAAGTGAACTTTTTTACTAATCCGGAAATACTCTGTCTTTTAAAGATATGTTAAATTAAAGCTTATGTTACGTATTATAAGTTAAAAACAAAAAAAATTTGTTTCAACGATTTATCTTCTACGCGCAATCGGCTGCTGTAGTTAAAAATTATGCTATGTTTGTATTCAAATAATTTTTTTGAATTTAAATTTTACACTGCTATTATTTTTTAAAAAATATATAACTAGGCGATTTTTTTATTTTAAAATACCTTACAAGGTGTGATCATAGTAATGAAAGTTAATTTTTATAAAAAACCATATGAATATAACTTACATTGAATAGGTTAAGCTTATTTTCTTTTTTTCTTTTTTTTTGTCGAGAAAAATAACTAAAATTTTGAACTACCTTAAATTTTCCTTTTTATCTATCAACAAACGCAATATACGATCATCGCGTCGATAATGCTAATATATTTCATGCTTTGTACCCAACCCGCGGCAATGACATTACAAGGGTTTGCCAAAATAATGAGACCACCGCCGATGTTCAAAAACGTTGAAACTAAACTACATTGAATATAAAGTTAAACTTATTTTGAACATTTTGTCTCCCCAAGTTAAGAAAAACGACTGAATTTTGGAACTAGTATCAATTGTACTTTTTATATATCAATATATACGATGTACTGTTGTCACGTCGGTAATACCACTGTGTTTCCTCATCACTGTAGTCTCCCTTTGCGAGAAAGAATTTTTTATTACTATTAAAATTATTTTACTATCTAGTTTTTTTTGTAGCTGTCATATATTTTCTCAGCTCTCACTTGACCGATTTTTTTCAACGATGTATCAAATGATCACAACTCGTATCTAGTTGAAGATTATAATCTCAAAAATGAATAAAATTTATCCTTTAACAATTAAAAAGTTACTTAACTAATTTTCTCCTTATAGACAATTCAAATCATTAATTTCTAATGTTTTTAAAATATTTACCGTGGAATTAGTTTTAATATGATAATAGGTTTTTATAATTCAAATATTATCATAATTTATGTAATATTATTTTTGTGGTACCCTGTCTGGTTAAGTTTTAATATTATTATCCGAAAAATATCTAGTCGGACCTGTTCTAGTTTTATTTATGATTTCGTCCACTAATGTGTTGTTGAATTTCATTTTAAAGTTACATTAAAATGATTACTAAGATTTCTATTTAAATGATTTATTATGATGAAAATGAAAAAAAAAATGGGAATTTTATTGAAATTTTAGAGTTATTGTCATAAATGTACTGTAAATAGTAATTATAGCATATTCTGAGCACATATCAATCTTAAAAATACCATTTTTGAAATTTTCTATTAATAATATAAATTTTAAAGATGCATATTGAGCTAAAAAAAATTTATGGTAAAAAGTTCAACCTAATTTTATTATAAACTTTCACAAAAATGACATTTTGCACAAATTATTTTTGACATTACAAATCATAATTAATAATAATCTGATAACAATTTTTTTTTTATTTTTAGTTATTTTTTATATATAAATACTCATTTTTTTTTACTAATTAGAAATAATTTAAAAAAAGAGGAAATAAAATAAATCTAATTGCAAATTTATAATCGGCGAAGAATAGGTTTAAAAAAGTATTGTATGGTGTTTGTTGAAAATTTCTTGTAAATCAGTATATTTATACATAAGTAACAAACAATTTTTTTTGAAAAGCATTCCATCAATCCCTTTAATTTTTATACACGTTTTTCATGGTAGTAATGAAATATCATTATTGAATATCAATTACATACTAAATTTAACTACTATAATTAGCATTTATTCGTATATTATACTTTATTATTAGATAGCTAATAATTAAAGAATAATATGTAACTAAAAGTAA